TTTAGCTGACTGCAGTCACAGCTAGAGGTAGTTCTGTAGCAGGTGAAGGAGTGGTTGGTTCAGGGACTGAGGAAAGGCGAATTCAGTAGATGAGGAATTACCTTGGGGTGAAGGAGACCCATATGTTAAGTTTCTGCTTGGACACCCAGTCCCCTGTGTATTCAAGTATCTAATTCTCTTTGGCTTTTGATTTCTTTCCCTTATGGTTAGCTAGCACGGGGGATGATAGCAGGGGCAATGCGGCAGCACAGGTGCAGACATGGGGTGGTTCACCTGCCCTGCCGTGCTGTTCTGGTGGTCTCAGCTAACTAGGCATGCAACATGTGGTGTAGATGCATCTCTAACTGTGGCACTAGGACATCTTCTAGTGAGGAATACGTGTGTTGGCACTGAGGAGGGCAGGAGGCGTTTCACCTCCCTTTCGTTATGCACACTATTATGTGTGCAAGTTTGAATGCTGGTTTCTGCTCACATACTTCTTCCCCCTCTTCCCAGCTCTGTGGTTACTGCTGTTCAATATATCAGTTTTTACTCACTTTTGTTGAGTAGAGCTTCTTCTACTAACAGCCACTGAAGCAGATACAAGTTGTAGTAAGTAGAGGAATCTTGATTAGTTTTGGAATCCCTGAGAATTAAAGGTTCTGTCTCATGCAAGATATTACTGTTGTTAATGCTTTTAGATAACCAAAAGAGAGGTCTCGCTAAAGCAGGGCTGCTGGAATGGCAGGCTCAGATCTGCATGGGAACTGCAAGCACAGTTTGCCCAGAGGTCCTCCAGGTTGCAACCATAAGGCGTGTCCCACATTGCCCTGGAGGGACCATATGTCTTGCTGCTGCCCCAGGCACGGCGCGCCACCAGCTCCACCTGGGACCACACAGCGCCTGCCCGGGGCTCACCCACCACTTCCCCCTCTGTGGATGTCAGTGCAAATGAATCGAGTAACCCTTGAAGTAATATTGCCTGCTCCTAATCTTAACTGCTTCTCTCATGTTCCTACTGGCTTAAGAAGCAAAAAAAAAAAAAAAAAGTTTGGATGTAGTTCTAACATTTTAACATGACTAGCACTCTGGGCTTCATCCAAGGCCCATTGGAGTCAATGGGTGTCTTCAATGAGCCTTGGCTCAGGCCCTGTAGTTGCGGGCAGGGAAGGAGGAGTGAATAACATTTGGTGTCCTCAATTAGTTATGAAACGACCTCAAGTGAAGACACAAGTTGCGAAGACAGCCCGTCAGAAGGGGATTCGGACAGTGAGAGAGAGAAAAAATTGGATGATTCAGAGCACAGACAGCCAAAAGCTGTGAGCGAGAGCGATCCCGCTGCCTTGGGGCCCTCCCTGCATGAGGGACGCAGGGACGACGGGCTGGAGGAGCCAGCGGTGACGGTGATGGCCAGCATGCAGCATGGGACTGACAGGTAATCCCAAAACCGCTGTAACGGTCTGTATTAGCAACGTTCAGCAACGAATATCAGCTAGCAGTAATTTGGATTTGAAGCTTCAGTGAAAGAACCTGACATCCCATTGTCAGCAAAATTAGTCATTTTTGAAGAGAAAGGAGAAATGTGGACTTTTGTACACATGGGAAAAGGCTTTGAAAAGCTAAATGTTTTTGAGTTAGTACAGAATCTAATGAGGATTGATTCAGGCCCTATACTTGATTATGGAAAAGGCAAAGTGAGTCATATTTGGGTGAATTAGCTCATTTCCACCACCACCACCACACCCAAAGTCAAGTTTCTCAGGAATTTTCTTTGCAGATTCAGGAATAAATTGTTGAGATTTTTCTTTTCGATTTTAAGGATTGTGGTAAAAGCTGAGGTTGGTCTTACAGATCTGAGATTCTGGACTTGCAAATAGTTAGAGTAAGTGCTTAACTTTGTACCTAAAATCTGATTCTAATCAAGGGGACAACTTCAATGAAGTACATGAAGTTAAGCATTTAAATAAGTGTTTAAATTATTCTGACCTAAACATTTATACTGCACATTATCCTTCCTGTTCCAGTGCCACATATTAGTTTGGTTTTATGATGGATTTACCAAAATATTTTCTCTTTAGATGCAAACCCTCTGAAGATTTCCTTACTGACTGCCAGCTACTCAGCAAACACCTCTCAGAAACAAAGCCTCCAAGCGACGAGCATCTGGTATGGATATATTTCAATCAAATTTCAGATGCAGTTCCCAGTTTCTGTTACATTTAATCAGTAAGACTATCCTAGCCGCACGCTGCAGAGCATATCCTACCATGCCAGGGACAGCTTTGTAAGGAGAAAGGGTCAAGGTGACCTCCGAGTTGGGAAAAAAAGGGGGGGGGGGGAAGCTTTCTCTGCTAACTTATCCAAGTTCCCACAGGAAATTCCTTTCCCTCTTCAGTTTTAAGTAATCACAAAACCCATCCCACGTGCTAAACGCTGGTGGGGGGATGCCAGGGCATAGGATGAAGCAGCAGGGGGCAGAGACCTGGGCAGATTTCCAGCATCTGTCGTCCCTGCAGGACAACAGTCACAGCAGATTCTTCTAGGTTTGACCTAGTAGAGCAGTTCGTAGGTGAAAACGTCATTGTTAACAATTTTTCCATTTGGACAGGAGGAAGCAGGAGTCTGGAGAACTAATTTAGGAGAAAGGTTAGAGCTATCTTCCTAAAATGCTGCAATAGGGGAGGGCAAGCAGGCAGAGGGTCCAGCATGAGATGGCCCATGCAGATGCCCAGCTGATGTTGGTGTCCCAGTTGAGCATCACGGCCAGGAGAAGTATTGCTGCGAGGGGCATGGATTCATTTTGCAGCTGTGGAGCTGGGAAATTATATGGGAAATGAGAAGCCAGGTCTGGAGTGCTGGGACTCAAATCATGGCCCAGCCGTAATGGGGCAACGGTGGCACTTGCAGAACCGTGTATCAGGTACCCCGACCCGACTGTAACAGGGCGACGGTGGCGTTTGCAGGGCCGCATCCCGTGCGCCGTCTCCCAGGAGTGGTTCCGCGTGTCGAGCCGGAAATCCTCCAGCCCTGACGCCGTCGCAGCCTATCTCAAAGCTCTTGGGGCAGCCCATCCACAGCTCCTGGAGGCAGTCGTGAACCTGGCTGACGGGAACGGGAATACCGCGCTCCACTACAGCGTCTCCCACTCCAACTTCCCCGTTGCAAAGCTGCTGCTAGACACAGGTAGGGGCAGCCACCCCAGGGTCTTGCCGCGAGGCACAGGCGGGCTGTCGTGGGAGCCCTGCGAACAAACCACGTTTTAACTGAGTGAACTTTTAGCTCCTATTGTAAAGAATGATGCTTTCAGCAGAGATTCTGTTGGGGAGGGGGAAAAATGCAAGCGCTTTCAGAAGGAATAAAGACGCTTTGGCCTTCTTTCCTTGGCGAGACAATCTGTTAAATGTTAGGAAAATGGCATATTATCATACACATCTATAAACCAATTGTTGTCACAGGCTTCCAAACAGCCTCGGGACATCGGGAGAAGTTTGTTCTTTTCTTTCGCTAAATGCCCGAAGCAACAAAGTTCAAAGGGCAACATTAAAATTGTGTGTTCTTAGATTAGACACAGTTCATTTCTAATCTGCAGTGCCCAGAACATAAAAGCTCACTCTAAAACACTGGAAGCAATGTATTTCTTAAGAGAATTTGCCAGTGTGATGCTTATAATTGAAAATAAGCTCTTCAACTGAAAAAAAAAATAGAGCACTTCAGAGCAGTATGAGAGAAAACCTTTAGAGCAAAAACTGTAAAGCATTTTACTGTGAAATTCACTGCTGTCTTACATGATTATCTGGGGTTATATCTGACAGCCCTACTGCAAAAGGAAGGGCCTCTCCTGGAAATTAAATCTATTAACAATCAGACCTCCAAATCCTGGTTTATAAAAAGAGATAAGGTTTTTTTTTTTTTCCCAACAAGTTCAGCATAGAAAGCTATCCGGTAAGAAACTTTATTGCTTCTTGTTAGGATGCTATCAATCAGTAGCACTATGTAAGTTATAGTGTCTTAGGTAGCAAATTCCCCAATTATGGGCCGACCAAGAGGAACAGAACCCCAAAAATGGCTCTGGAGCTCTTCAGAGCTGATATTACTGAAACCAAGTTATGAGAGAAACTTGGGAAAATCAGATTTACCCCACTCATGAGGTGACCCATTCATTTTTCTGCTGTTCCCCCAGTTCAGGAGTTAAAACAAATAGCACACCAATTCCACAACTGGCCACATGCCCAAAGCATAAATTATCTTTTTTTTTAATCCAGGATAAAATTTGGTTATGGTCATCAAAATTAATTGCTAAGTTGACCTCAGCAATTATAATTAGATGTAGCAATGTATAGTACGCAAGGGCCTTTAACACTGTGCTTGCTAGATCCTTAATAAATAGAGATTTAATGCCGATAAGGCTCAGCCCTGTATAGCTGAGGAAACTCCCATTGCCTTTTTCCTTGACTTGAAAGACGTCTGCGACACTGCATTGGATGAGGTCACGGACAGTTTGTCATGGGACTAAACCTTGCTTTTCTCCATGCATCTGCATGTGAAGGGGAATGTCTCTCTCTCTTCCCCAGGGGTATGCGACGTGGACCGCCCCAACAAAGCTGGGTACACCGCCGTGATGATCACGCCGCTGGCCTCCGCCGAGACCTGTGAGGACATGGAGGTGGTGATGAAGCTGCTGATGGCAGGAAACGTGAACATACGAGCAAGCCAGGTACGGGAACGTAGTCCAGCCTCTTCCTCTTTGCGATTCTAATGGGCAAACTCCTGCTATTCTCACAGTCAGGGCAGCTGGAATGACAGCTTGAAGGTTTGCCCCAGCAAGACAACTTTGGGGCACTTTTGTTGAGGACTGAATGAAAGCTGAGTGGATAGAAGAGCTTGGCTCATAAGCAGCAGTGTGTTGTATGACTGTTAATTCAAACTGTGGCTCAGCACAATAGGAATAATTTCCCTCATAATCATACCCCCATAGAGATCTTTAGGGGGGATATAATTCGTGTTACTTATAGTGAACATACAGCATGAAACCGAGACTCAGTGGTACATACCGTGTTGGAGTCACTGGTTTCCCATAAGTTATAAAAGCACGTTCAGCTAAATTGCCCAGTCCATTGCGATTAATTAAACCCTCCAGACTTCCCTGGCCATGGCAGGGCAGCTTCTCAGTCCTGGCGCGTGAGATGCCATCTCTCTGCTGCTAATTAAAACCCTGTGGGACGCAGAGCAGCCCAGCGGCATGCAGGGCTGCGCTCACCACTCCTTTTCTGGGATCACTGCAGGATGAGCCTGGCACCCACGGGAACGGAGGCAACCGCTGTTGAGGAGCTCACAGCTTTTTTGACATCCAACAGCTCTCTGAGAAGGGAAGCAAGTTGTAAATAAAATTAAGAAACAAAAGCAAGGTGAAAATTTTGCTAAGGAGAGAAGCTGTTTGGGGCGAACTCTCAGGGCTGCATAACCCTGGTGCCCAGCAGTGCCAGATTTCATGGTGCACTATCATTGAATCATAATTTCCCAGATGTAAATCTTAAAGATGATGGTATGCTTATGCAGCGCTTCCAGTCTAAAAGGCATTTTCTGAATGGCTATAAAGGTAATTATAAGCCTAATTCAAAGTCCCAGTCAGCAGGAGTTAGGGGGACCTGCTGCATGATGGAGCAGCTGGACAGCAGGCGGCCTAGCTGCGCTGCGGGAAAGCAGTTATTCCTATAAACCAGAGGGATCTCTCCGGTGGTAAGTCCTGCTCAGTCTGTCACCGTGCTGTTTCCAGGGCGGCCAGACGGCCCTCATGCTCGGTGTCAGCCATGACCGGGAGGACATGGTAAAAGCCTTGCTGTCCTGCCAGGCCGACGTCAACCTGCCAGATGAGCAGGGGACCACGGCACTGATGGTGGCCTGCCGGCAAGGCAACGCGGACATCGTGAGGCTCCTCCTCGCCCAGCCCGGCTGCGACGTCACGCGGACGGATAAGGTAAGCTGGGAATAAAACAGAGAATACGGGTAAATCACAGCAGCGTCCCATATCCCAGCTCTAGCCGATGCAAGAGCACCTGCAAGAAAAAAGTGCAAGCCTGGGTCTTGGTCCCTTCAAATACCACCTGGCTTGCAGGCACGTCCCTCATTGCTTAGGATGTTTCTCTTTTTGTAAGGAAGGGTTGAGACTCACCCATATCACCCCGGGCTGAGAAAAGACCATGCCGGGGTGGAACGCTGGGAGGCATGGGATGCCACCAGTGTCCCCTTTGAAAGCACAGACCCAAAGGGCGAGGACAAACCACGTGAACTTGAAAACATCATCACAGATCGTCAAATACTGGCGTAACAAAGCGGAAGCCAGGCAGATGTGAGGAGGGAATGGAAGGGAATTCATATAAACCTTAAAAAAAAAAAAAAAAAGAAATCCTGGACATCTGGAATCAACAGAGCTTCAGCTCCAAGAAATTAGAAGCAATTAATTCTCTCCTCAGAACTGAAACCCACCCACAAAAGGAAAAAAATGTAACTCACCCTGCCCTTGACATCTGGTAATTGAGACCCAGACTGCTCCTAGCCTGAGATAACTCAGAGAGGGGAAAAGAAAAATGTTTCTCTGCACTTCATCTACTTAAACTCTAATGCAAACAAGAGTGTTGGGGAAGCTCTTCCATATGGTGGTTAAATCCTATTTCATCTTAATGACCAAAACAGACTAAGCAGCTACATTATATCCCCATAAATGAACCCTTGTAACTACCAGAGATGTATGCTTTCATGTAGCTTTATTTCTAAACATTGCTACAAAGAAAGCCCACAGAAACTACCAAACAGGAGCTAATAATAATGCACCTTACAGTTTCCTGTTGCTATGCCTGTGAGCCCTACTCATTGGCCAACAATGTGCTGTGCGCTGAGCTGCACAGGCAGAACAAAAAAAATCATATTATTCATTATCATATTGATATCTATGATTATTCAGAGTACAATGTACAAGCAGAAAAAGTACTGTGCAGAAACGAGCTGGTCTTAATGGAGAAGTGAGACACAGGCAAGTCATGTAGTAAACCCATCTGGCAACTCTTCTAGCAAAGAGAGAACAAAAGAAAAGATTAAAAATGGATTGAACAGATGTTTAGTTTTCCAGGAAATTTCAAAACAGCTAATAGCAATATTTGGAGGCAACTTGCTATGGAGAAGAATGATACTCTCAGCCTGGCTGCTGCAAGGGCAGGGCAGGAGGGGCCCTGCGTGGTGGCAGCGAGTCTGGGGACATGTCACCCATGTGGCCGCGTGCTGTCATCCTCCGAAGAGGAGCAGGAGGGTACAGCAGAGAGCAGCCGGGGGCTTTGGCTGGCGTCTGACTCCCTCCATCCGAAATCCCACTTTGGTCGTGGAACAGCTGCCTCAAGTCGCAGCAAAAACATAGATGTTGCAGCGTTATTCATGGGAGCATGGTTTGGGGGGTCCTGGTAATAGCTAATTCCTGGCTGAAAACATAACTAACATGCAATTCCTGGCGAGGGCCTGCTCCCTGGAGCCTGTCTGTTGGACGGCACGCTGGGACGGTGATGTAAGGCGACAACCACTGAAGCCTAAAAGAAAAGCATTTTCTTAGGGTAGGCAACAACCTGAGGCAATAATTCAGTTCCCTGCCTGTTTACGGGCTGAGAAGAGTGCAAATTAGTATCAGTATCTTGCCTTCTGGTTAATGCAATTAATATGAGAGAGTAAATTGTTCTCATGGGGATAAAGCCATGCTGCTTCGGCTGGGTTGAAGCAGGGAGAGGCGAGTGCTACCTTGTCTCCTAACAAGCCCAGGACCTTTGGGATGCATTTAATAACACCTCTTACAGAAAAGTGACACTTTGCTAGCGGGAAAGCGTGGGACATCGATTTATTGGCAGGACCGGGAACGGGCAGATCTACATATTCCTCCCGTGCAGGTTAATGGCGACAGGCCACGTGGTTACGTTTATGTTTATGCAGCTGTAGTCCAGTTCAACTGCAATTTTTTTTTTTTTGTCTTAGTCCTGCATTGCTTAACAGAAAAGAGCCGTTGCCGATGGCACCAGGAACAGGGCAAGACGCTGCCGAGATGTATTTTGCGCAGGTCCGGTTAAGGCCTGAAATCATGCTGGAAGATTTGCAGAGCAGTTGTTCATTTTAAAACACTCTGGAGATTAACTCCAGGGAAGGAAGTTTTTAACTAACTAAACGGGTGCATGGCTAGCTGTATGCTGGAGTTAAGAAGAAAATGTCTCATCACCCGCGTGAAGTGCTAACCCGGCCTCCCTTAGCGCGGCCAGGAAGCCTCAGCAGTTTGCTGCAGAGCTGGGTGTATTAAAGGGGTTTTAGAACATAAATCACCAGCGTTGTCTCTGAGCAAGGGGAACTGGCGTGCTCTCATTGCGATCTGTGGGGATTTCATAAAAAAATAGATGAGGAAGCCCACCGTGACTCACGTGGCCAGCGGAGGAGCCGGGAGCGGCGGGCGCGCGGGGGGGGTGGGGCCCCTTGCTGGCTTGCAAACGTGCGGTCGCATGTGGGTCCCCTGCCCCACGACCCGCTTCCCAAGAGCAGCCAAAAAGGAAGGAAATCCTGGATTTCGAATGCCATTTTCTCCTATTTTCATACAATAGCATTTTGACGTGATGAAACATTGGGCCAGTTCCTTCTAGTGCAGCGGCGCTACCGCTCAAACTGCAGCTTAATTAGGTCTAAGCTGTCCAAAAATGCAAGATGTGAAATTTGAAGATTTGCACGGTAAATCCCTTTTCTCCTCCCTTCTGGCAGGATGGTAACTCGGCGCTGTCTCTGGCGCAGCGATCTGCCCACGTGGAAATCGCAGCGCTCCTGCGAGCCCACGCGGAGCAGAGCCAGGCCGCCTCCGAATGACGGAAATGGAAAGACGGACTCGTCAGCAGCGGGAACGGGTAACAAATAGCTCATTCTTCCGACAACCGCGCTCCCGGTTGAAAAGGCGGTGACTGTGGCCAAGCTCACCGATTCCTAGACTCACAGCGAGGACGAACTTTGTCACTTATTTGCATACATCCTTAATGTATAATTTGCTGCATTAAGCCTGCTTATTTAGCCTTAATCTATGCATAGTGCGATGAATGACTCGAATACTGTTTCGGAGAGTCAGACTGCTGGATTGCCTTTTATTAACAGTCAGTCCTGAAGTTAACGCTGAGCTCTGCTACGTGCCCCTCCCAGCACAGTTTTGGCAGGTGCGTGGCCAAAACAAAAAAGAAAAGCACATTACAGAAGCAATACTTATTTTTGGTACCCTTAGATTATGGCATTCTTTTTAATCAACTACTTAACTGTATCTCATTTAACGTGTAAGTTTGTGTCCTAATATTTATTATTAGACCTTCTGTATGTAACAGCAGACAGCGATTATTCGGTATATGTAACAACAAATACAAGCTGGATGGATTATGTAAAGTATAAAATCCTATTTATGATGGCTTATGTGGGTCTGATGCAAGAATTAAAAATTAATGCTCTAGGAAAATATTTGAATGCACCAGATCCCAACAAACAGACCTTGTTTTGCCTGTACTCTGAATTACCATATGGCTCTTATCTTTTCTAATTAAGTTTGAGTTAACCAGGAAACGCAGCGCGCAGCCGTGCACGGCGCGTCAGGACATGCGATGCTCAGGCACAACATGATGTATTGAGTTATCCCAGCCACAGCACGAGAAACAAGGATCGCAACCGATTCCCTTTCCAGGATGTGTCAGTATTGTCCAGGAGGGTCACAGAGGGACTTGTTGCCAGGCTCGCTGCCCTATGGGTGTCAGTCCAGCACCATCGGCAAACTACACGTGAGGCAGATTATATATATATATATATATTTTTTTTTTTTTTCTTACATTCCTCTTCCTCCAACAAGAGGGAGGGAGGGCTCAGTGCCTGCTCTCCCAAACATCGTCAGACTCTCATTGCTCTTTCTATGCCAAGAAATGCCAATTACCAGCATTTTATTGCGTTAGGAGCTATTGGATGCTTTCCACAGGTTTCCATGGGCATGGATTAGTTCCTTGTCCTGTCGAGATGGTGTGTGTGGTATGACACAATAGAAAAGGACTTAGTTGCCATGTCTAAAAGCAGCTCTCGCTCGTTAGTTAGTTGTTTTTCTTTTTTGTTATAAAGCAGAAAGTAATCCTGGACTCTCTTTTTTGGTCGTTTGTAAAGTCAACTTACATCATACGATTCAGTCGCTTTGGCACTGCCTCTTCCTCTTCCCTCGCATTTGCAATACAGGGCAAAGCTGTTTCCAAGCGCGGCCGCCTCGGCTCGCTGTCCTAGAGCGGGACCGAGGAGATCCTCCTCCAGGTTTTTGCCTCGGCTGTTTTCAACTGAGATCTAGTGTCTGGTTCGGTTTTTGTTTTCTTCATGGTTGTAGTCAGAAGCGATAACCGTCTGGAGTGTCTGCCTTGCTTTTTAACGCTCTGCCCAACTAGAGTTACACCCTTTATGCGTAAATAAATTCGAATTAAACTTTTCTCCGTGTTTTCCTTACGCCTGCCCTGCTCAGGGCACGGGTGCAGGGCGCTTTCCCTGGGGGAGGCACCTCCCCGTTTCGCCTTACCCTGCGCCGGGCTGGGGCGCCCGGTGGCCCTCGCGGCTGGGCCCCGCTCCGCTTGCAGGCCGGGGAAGGGGCTTGTGCAGACACCCGCTTCCTGGAGCGACTTCTGCATTTGTGGCCAAGGTGCCTCATCGCCAGCCACCGACGGC